ACTCAGTAAGCAGCCCTCTGCCCAGAATAATTGCCTGCCCCTGACATATGGCGAGGCATGGCACTTGTCACAAAAAATGTAGAAGTGAAGGCTTTAATGATATATCTTAGTTTGCCTAGGCAGATTCCTACATCTACATGGAGCCCCCTTGACTTCAATGTGAATAACTACTGCTTGCAAGCAAGGGCAGGAACTCATGCATGATAAGGTACCACAAATAAGAGAATGACAGGAAGGAAGGAAGTGCACGATGTAACAGCATTTGAACGTGGAATAATCTAAGCTGGTTGGTGTGTACCTTTATAGCCCTGAATCACCAAAATGTGACTTTCCACTGAATAATCCATAGTCATTCTCCTCAGCATTCTTCACAGCTCTTTTGTACATTTCTATAATATCAATGCTACTCTACTCCATCTTCTCATTGCCTATCTTGCTTTGCCAATCTGGTGCTGACTCACGGCCCTAGGTTTCAAGCACCTTCATTACAGGGAGCAAGCCTCAGAAACAAATAATAAAATTTTAGAACACTTAAGTAGAAAAATATTAAGGGGCTTTGGAGATCTGGTTGGTTAATTCAACACATGCCTAACTACTTTATTGTATATTTTTGTTTATAAATGAATTAAAGCAATCCAAAATGCAGGATAACCCTTGTAGCTGTCATTGCAAAATTTCCCTGAGAGAGATTCCCAACCCATCCATTTTAGTTGAACAGATACTGTTACCCCACAGCTCTCCTCTTTTCATTGTTTAGCCATATGGGGCTGAATTTACCTCTGTTTGCCCCGTGTCCAAATTGGGGGATTCACAAGACAAGCTCTGACTGTTGGTTGGAGAACTTCTCTTGGCTGGTGAAGGAAAACATTTTAAAACACCTTTAAAGCTTTTCTTGTATTAACTGAACAAATAAACTATTTGCTGTTGTAAACAAAACATATTATAAGCATCCCTATTGTTGTAACACTAACTGCTGGGAAACAATTGTTTAAATTATTTTTTTGACAAAAAACACAGGTTTTGGGAAAAAGTACTATTTTCTTCAAGAAACGCTGCCTGATTAAAAATTGTCAGCTGTTAATCCATTCCTTTAAAAATAATTTTGGTTGTTGAATTGAGCTGAAGCATATCATTCTGTGTTATTTGGACATTAAACTGCATCTGCCTAAGGTATCGAAGGTGCTGCAGCATAATGAAGAACTGTTATTTGTATGCTTCACACTTCTTGTCTCTTAGGGAAGTGGCTGCCAAACTTCTTGGCAGATGTGTCATGTCCCCTTCCTCTGCCTGATCAACTGCTCTTTCTGCTCCTTGCCCTCTGTTCCCTCCCCACCTACTGTTCTGCTTTCTGCCCTGTCTGCCTCCTCCCCAATCTGCCATGTGCCACACACAAAGGCTGTCCATGCCACTTGTGGCACTTATGCCACAGGTTGGCCACCCCTGTGTTAAGGGACAGGCTCTTTGGCTGGACCACATATTCCATGATGAACTGTGGTTTCCTTCTCTGGCCAAGCCACATACCCCATCGTAGAAACATTAAGATTATGGGAAAGGCAGCTGGGCCAAGGAGTACAGCTGATAGAGAAGAAAAGGAACATGAGAGACTCAAACTACAGCTTCCATAATGTACTGCAGCATCTATGCTTCAGTTTAACTTCAAACCAATCTTCTGTTGATTTTTTCTATTCTTGGCTGTTCTAAGGGTCTGTGCAGCTTCTGGATTACATTAGAACAGCCTACATGTCTACTCATGTTTAAAGCAATCTTTTTGGACCATCCAGTCATTTCACTGCTCAGCCAACTACTGAACATGACCACTCTACCTTTGACAGAGACAGAAAAATGCCATCAGTTCCCAATACCCAGAAAGCCCAAGCACCTGCCTTTGAGCCCATTTTATGCTGCCATAAATTAGGGGTAACCCACTAAAATATGTAAGAACAGATTCAGGTTCTAAGTCACTAGCTTGCCTTTTGGCTTGTGAAACAATACTATATAAATGCTCAAGTCAGGACTTGGGCTGGGGAGAGACTCTGTGCTGACTGTTGCTTTGCCTCTTTCTGTTAAGAATACATAGCTGCTAGTCTCAGCGGGTGCATCTACACATGTGATTAATGTGTATGAATAAACTCCAGGGCTTACTGCTTTGGAGTTTTTTGCTCCTGGGTATGCTGTTTGAGCATGTGCTTGGGAGCAAAAAACTGTGGAGAATATCACTCCAGTTTATTCATGTGCAGCATGTGGAGCCTGGTTGGTGCAGCCTGGGCTGGCGAGGGACCCAGGGGGTCAGCCTGCCAGCCTGGGCTGCTCTGACCAGGCTCTACATGCTGTGGAGCAGCTGACTGAGGCATGAGGGTGCTTCTGTGTGGGAGCTGCCTCCAGGCTAGCCCTGCACTGAAGCACTCTGTGCCCCAGGTAGCTAGGGCAGCACCTACACGTGTGCTGCTATGCATGAAAAAACTCTGCGGCAGGGTAGTATTTGTATTTTATTTGTATTTTACAAGTACTACCCTGCTGCAGTTTCATGCACCCTGATAGGGGTACACATGTACATGCTGAGACATTTACTAAGCAGTTAATAAATCATCTGTGCAGTAAACATCTCATGTAGACGTGCCCAGTATTATCTTCCCCATCACTGCAAGGCTGTTGCCAGTCTAGCTTCTACTTATTCTCAGCCACTCAGAAAGAAAGAAACAAAACTGACAGAAAATGGTATTTTACATAAGAACAGAAGTGGTCAACTATGTTAGTCTGAAGTCAAGCAGAGGGTAGGGGAGGGTGGCACCTTAGAAACTAACTGGTTCAGAGAGGCTTGAGCTTTCATAGGCAACAACCTACTTCGTAACATCTGATGA